CAGAAACTGTTTTTCTGTCTAATAATGATTTCATGGAACCTAGGATAATAATTCCTACACAACCAGCAATCAATACATAGTTGTTAAATGAATGAAGGATTTAGAAATGTGGAGTTAGATGGAATATGATTCTGGAATATAATCCCTTATTAAAACCCTGAAGGCATCACTGGTGATAGGAGTCAATTTAATCCCTATGCTAAACAACCAACCAAATAAACTCTAAAACTGCTGGAAAGATTGTGAATGAATGCTAGAATGAGCTCAATTGAACACTATTTTTTGTTTGTTTTTTTCAAGATAGGATTTCTTTGTATAGCTTTGGAGCCTGTCCTGGAACTCACTCTGTAGCCCAGGCTGGCCTCGAACTCACAGAGATCTGCCTGTCTCTGCTTTGAACACTATTAAGTACAGCAAGTCAAATAGTTTTGAAAATAAGAAACATGCTTAAGCAGTAAGGAAATCCAACAGAGTCATCTATAGAGATGTCTATGTAATAAAAAAAAGGGGGGGGATGAAGAAGTAGGTTCACAAAATCTCACAACTACAAAAATGAAAATTTGGTATTCATCTCCCAAGAGCTATGCAAATAACAGTGAACCTCCTGGAAGAATGCAAGGCTGCTAACTAACTACAGAATCTGGAGCTAATCAGTTTGTTTGTTGGTTTGTCTGCTCCCTTGTTCCTCCTTCTTGTGTCTACTTCCTAATACTTGACCACCTTACTCTGTGTTAGCTTGTCTCACAAGGCAGAAACCTGGAGAAAACAGGGAAACTGAAGTGATTAAAACTACTCCTTGCCTCATCCACCCATGTTATGAGGATTTGTACCTAGTCTTATTATAACTTGTTATGCCGTGTTCAGTTGATATCCCTGGTATGGCTGCCTTTTTTGTTGGGGGATGGAGGAGTACATCTGGGGGAGAGGGGAGGGAGGGGAGGTACTGAGAGGGACTGCAGTTGGGATGTAATGTATGAAAGAAGAATTAAAAAAACAAATGAACGAACAAAAAAACCCCACTCCTAGATAACTTTCTAGGGGAATATACCGGGATCATAGTCTGGGCAGTAAAAACCTGCATGCTGTTAAAACACATTAAACTCTGTGAGAGAGCAAATAAAACTCAAACTAGTCAACAGATGACAGCATACTATAGGATGAATGGAATACTGATAGGAGCGGAAGGTAGCTGGGAAAGGGAAATGGGAGAGAGACCAAAATACGCAGTGGTACATGTACGAAAGTGCGAAAATTTAATAATTAAAAAAATCTCTAGAAAATAACAGCAACAACAAAAACATGTTGTTAAAGTGGACTGTGTACATACTTCTGAAAATAAGTTGTTTATACTGGCTTGAGATAAGATCTGAATTTGTCAAAAATATTATGAATGGATAGAATTTAAAAATTTGGGAATATGTTTGAATATGCAAAAAATAAAAACATGAAAGAAAAAGAAGAGAAAGGGAAAGAAGAAAAGCAAACGCAGATAGCTGGCTCTGTGACTGTTATATGATCATCTGGAAGGGGCAGCTTATTTATTGTGTGGTGTGTTTGCATGTGTGCACATATGTGTGCATGTGTGTGCATGTGTATAGTGGCCAGAAGTCAACATCAAGTATCTTCCTCAACCATCTCACACTATGTTTTTGTTGTGTTGTTTTGTTTTGTTTTGCTTTGTTTTGAGGCAGGATCTCTCCCACAAAACCTAGAGTTCAAAGACAAGCTGTACTCATTGGCCAATGAGTTCAACAGATTTCTCTTTGTCTGTCTTTCTGGTACAGGTTCCAGACAAGGGTCACCACGCCTGACTCAGGTCCTTGTGCTTGCATTTCTTTACTGACTGATCCATCGTCCCTCGATGGAGTAATTTAACACAAAAGGACTCTGTCTAGTAATCTCTAGGGGCAGGAACTCTGGCCATATCTGCTTCTCCTTTACTAGCAATGGAAATTGGGTGAATATAACACATTGTTAAAGCTTTTCTAGATTTTGGTAGTGTAATTTTCTCATAAACTTGTTGTAATTATGAGATAGTTAAACAATGAAAATACCTGATCCTCTCCACAAGCAAAGCCCCAGCTGCTGTGTTCCTTATCTGTCCAAGTGTTCAGCAGCAGCGTGTCATTTTCACCCTTTCTCTTCTCAGTTTCTAAATGCACAGAACCCTGAAGAATATCTAGAAGGCAATTAACACATGGCTACAACTATCACGGCAACTATAAAGAGATAGATTAAAATGTGCACCTGGGACCTGTTTTAAAACAAGAGTTAGTTGTTTGGTGTTGTTTTTTCAAATGTGTTTTTAACTTCAAATACAGAGGAAAATATTATAAAAGATATTTTAAAAATATAATGTGGCATCTCCTGGAGGAAGAAAATTTTCTTCCTTTTGTACAGATCAAAGAACAGAAAATGTGTTGTTCTTTACAAAGTCATGTGAATGTAAACTCTCTGAAAAGAGAATTCCTCGTCTGCCTCATTTATTACTAACTCATTTGATGGCTACATGTTTATAATTGGCAATTAAGAAATAATTCTGGGTGAATACAGTAAGCCCAGACTATAGTGGGCTTGCATGGGAACAGGGCCCATCTGCCTCTGCAAGTGACTGCATACATTAAAAAGAAAAGAGATAAATAATGACAAGCCAAAAATTAGCATCTGAACCAAGCAAAACACTACCCTTATCTCGGTTTTTGAACCTCTGTTTAAGAGCCTCTAAGACTAAGCTGCTTTAGAACTCACAGTCCGTGTGTAGTATATACTTAATGTATGCATAAATGGTTATGAAATTGATGATAATTTCTTAAAACAGGATAATGTTTTCTTCTCTTTCTCTTTCCTTCATTATTTCTTCTTTACTTATTTTTTTGTAGCTTCTTCAAGCAAGGAACATAGAAAGCAGAATAGTCTCTAACTCACCATGTAGCCATAGCTGGCTTTGAAATCTACATCCTTCTGCTCTACCTCACAAAGCTGGGATGGAATGTGCTTGTCACTGTGTGTAGCTTCATGGTTTTCTTGAATTGACTAAAAACCTTTCATTTTAGAGAATAAACGTAAAGTTAAAAGTTTAGGGACATTTTCTACTACATCATTCAATAGCCAAATGTAAATGTTAGTTTTTATTTTTATAAAATACTAGTTGAATAGACTATTCCACTTAAATTATTAGTTATTCAGACTTAGGATAATAAACAATCAACTAAAAGGGAGCTGGCCTTCTCTAATTACAATAAGCTATGTTAAGTTCTTAAACGAGAGGATTTTTAAATAGTGGCTAATTAACACTGCATAAAAGCACAATAGTGGACTGCACCACACAGTCAGTGGGCATCTGTAGACATTGTCCCAATCTAATTATAAATTAGCTCAAAGGTTGCCAAAGTAGACAGCCCAGCCTACACAACTCTCTTATGAAGCATGTAGAACCAACAGGCCAAGAAATTTAAAAAAAAGTAAGTTCTATTGAGTCTTTTTTTCTTGATGACGTTCTATGGGAAGAGAGATCATTCCATTGCTTACTATCTTTCTTACCTTTTGGTGACCTTATCTTTTTTTTAATTAATCACACTTTTCGTATGCATTATGCTTTATTTATGCATTCTTGAACAGCATCTTTATTTATGACTTTGTGAATCAACAACTTTGAGATAGGAGGCGAAAGTCACTTAGCTAATTACACATGCTTATAGGCCGCATAATAATAACCTCTGCAGCATTATACATTAGTTGACGGCATGTAAATCACAGCTGGTATTCTCTTTTGCAAATTAAAAAAAAAAAAACAAAAAGCATTTTCTTTAGTTGTTTTAAAGCACTATTTCTGTCACATGTCTTCTTAAGCATACTATGCATTTGACCCAAACTATGGCCTGAAATTTTTAAAAGTAAAGTTTCAACTCTATTTTATCCAACAAATAAGAGAAATAATAATAGTCAACTTAATTCAAATACTTCTGATGGACAGTTGATAATTTTCTTACTCTAAGTCTCTCCTGTATAATCCAGTCTCATAAAACAGAGCATTTGGACATCCCCTCCCCCACAAAGATGCCATAATGAAGTCTGACCTGCTCCCGACAGATTACAAGTGCAAAGAGATGGAATGTGCAGCACTGGAATATTAATACGACTTCTGTAGGAAGACTGAAAAGTCTACCAAGTTATGAATAAGGTCAAAATAACACTTAGAAAATTTACTGCCGTAGAAAATCATACACTCCTGTGAGTGATTTACTGAATGTTATATAAAAACGGAGTGTGGCCATGCTGCATTCAGATGCGAGCTGCAGCTGTCAGTGTCTACATTTGCTCAATCTGGCTAGAGGATGATTGGAAGGTTGATTTAATTGTAGCTTCTGAATCACGTCCTTCCCATGTTTTAAATTGTTTAACATAAATATATAAATGTTGAAGACATTTTAAGACTGTAAATATTTCTCATAAAGAATAAAATATCTCATTTTCTTCTAGAAGAGTAACTGAAAATAAAAACAACTCTTGGGAAAAAATACCACTGTTACCTAATAATGGTAACTGCCCCAAAGCTGTAGCCAATTTACCCTTATGATCAAAAAGTCCATAAGGTGTTCTGGAGGATCTAAGACTACATCAACATAAAACAAAGGTTTTGGCTGAACTAATCATTTTGAAGTGGTACACACATCTGTACATGTGTGCACGTCAGGTAGAGTCCAGAGACTAAAGCTGACCAGCTGTTAAGGCAGTGCTGTTTGGGTTCCCTAGGCAGCATAACAGTGGGGTATCTTTTTTTTTTTTATAAGCAAAGTGTAGCGGAAATTACATTCTTAAGGCATGGGCCATAGGAGAGCACAGGTGCCAGCAATGAGTTTTCCCAGTATTGTCTGCTCAGCTTGCGCTCTCCTGATCCATCACCTAATACTCCCCAGCATCAGCAAGGCATCCTTTAGGAGAGTATCTGGTTCTTCCTCTGTAAACTTTCACATCGTTTTCATTTTCACTTTTATACATACCTCCTTTTCTACATATTTTCTTGCCGGGTTTTCTGGCACATTCCTTGGATATTCTTTTTACTGAAAAATGAATAGAAGACTAGAAAATAACATGGCGCTCCATCACAGACCGCCGGAACATGCAACACCACTAACTTAGTACACTCCTGTTTTTACTGAGTGCGAAAGAGCCCCAATTCGTTGAGCCTGCACATGCAATGAGGAAACGCTGATGCATCTTCTCAGAAGTCATTTGGTAGGAAATGGAAGTTAGGAGCCCATTTCTACCTAAATATACGTGCTGTGGAGGAAAGAAAATGAGTAGGCACAGTGAAAAAATAAGAACAGATCCACTGACACACAAAAACAAAAAGAGCAGCATGCAAGCATGTAAAATATGTCTACATGCCAACAGGAAAAGCCATGCACACTACCAGTACACGTGAACTAATATTATTCAAAATTAGAAGAGAAAATAAACATATCTCCCTGTGTTTCTGCAATTAACTCACCATCTTCAGTTGGGACATAGATGTTTAAGTATAGGCAGTCTTCACTCTGGTCTTGAACATATGATGAAACCACATCCAAGTTATTAGTGAACCACACAGGAAGCATAACCTCAGGCAATCTGCCATCAATGATGTTCTGGGGACATACAGGAGCAAACTGAGTGGCATTCCGGACATCGGACCAGGGAGATGGTGGTTCTGGAGGCTGAAAACGATGTTCACCTGTTGGTGGAGCAGCATACGGAACCCCAAGAAACTGAATGACAGGCCCCAAAATTTCATTATTGAGTTCTTTCTTAATCCCTCTTATTTTGCCAAAGTTAGTAGTTACCAATGGGTCTACATCATCCAGTTTCTGAGAGAGTACGTGGACAGTCTGTAGCAAACATCCCAACAAACAGAGAGTCAACGGGGCACCCAGTCCCCTGTGTACCACACATGCCATCATGGCTCTCCAAACATAATTTGGCCACATGCATCTGGGAAGTGCCATGGTCCCACATTAGTTGTCTAATTATCTGGTACAGTGAGGCAAATATATTTGTATCCACTTAAAAAAGATGAAATGGTGGTAGGATGCACCTCCAGCTTCTCAAATGTTAGCTTGTTAAGGAAAGCTCAGAGTGTCCCTCGTGGAGCACAAAGCTCCCATTGACTTCACACAGACTGAAGCAACATCTTCAGTCATCACCATTCATCAGACCATCTCCTGTTGACCATTCTGCTTTCCACAGTGGCAATGTGGTGAGAGTGGCCATTGATTGTAGATTTCCCTCGTATAAATCAAATCCAGTTAACTGTGGGTCTATATCCTAGAGAAAAAAATGAAAATAAATCATTAGTAAGAACAAGTTAACAGACACAGTGATAACTAGATGTTTTAAAAGGTATAGAAATACTTTAAGAGTGGCTAGATTTGGGTAAGTTGAACACTACGAAGAGAAAATAATAGTTTGAAGACTAAAGGTGAAATGATTGATTATTAGATTATTGAGCAACTTGCTTGCTGACTTCACATGTACTTACATAGAAAAAGACTTTGTCAAATACACAGTTTTTGGAGCATTGTATGCTACAGTGTTTTTTTTCCCCCAGCATTTCAGGTTATATGTGAAAATTTTCTTTTTATGGACACTTTAATAATTTCAAGGAACTAGAGAACTGATTCACAACCCTACTCAGAATTAGAATCCCATAAGCAGAAAACCTTTTGTGAAAGTGTTAGTGTATAATGGAGGATCAACTTGTAGGAATGATTGTATATATTGAAAAATAAATAAAAAGAAGTACACAAACCCATATTTATAATGAACACAAAACAAATGTATTTAGATCCTACTTCCTCATGGGTCCAGGTTCCTTGCCATTTCTCAAAAGTTTGCAGGATATGTCATTTCCAGAACCTTATTTAAACAGACAGCATATGCAAAAGAGAAAGAAACTGATGTCCTTTTTTCAGACCGAAGATATTTTCCCATCTAACTATATGTTTCAGTTCACAATAGATTTGCAATGTGAAAATGAATTTCTGAGTCAAAGTCATTATGCTTTAAATTACAAATTTTGTTCTCACTGTCTGTGAGAGATCAAAGGAAGAATACAAAAAAAAGAGCACAGTAATTTAAAAGAACAATCATACCTAATTGTGGCATCTTGCATATTAACACTCATCAAACATCTCATGCTGTTTATTCAGTGCGATTGAAAATGCATCTGAACAAGCTGTAATACTCAGCGCAATGCAATCCGCAGGCACATCTCGCACCAACTGTCAAAGAGCATGCAGCTCAGGAAACTTGTCTTTTTGTGTGTAAGCCACCCTTTAAAGTGCTTACTTTGGAAATAATAGTGTTGATCTGTGTTAGAAACGTTTCTATCCTGTTATATTATGGGGAGATTCTTGAAGAAGTACTGGTCTGTCAGTGATACTGCCCTGACTTTGTGTGACTTGAAAGGAGACTGTAAAACTATATAGGCCAGTAGGAGATTTGGTTCTGGAGCTGATGCTCCTTGGGCACTGAACAATCCATGACTATAGGAAGTAAGAAGTTAAATGTCTTTCTCCAAGAGTATTCCAGTCTCTGTAAACTGTCACGTAAGCTTAGACCCTTCTTCCTCGTGTTCCAGAATTCCTGCATCAACAGAAGATTTAGCTACACAAGCTCATGTCAGAAAGAACTTAGTATGCCCATGCATGCTCTGTATCATGGTGGGCCACAGTGGAGCTGAGTCCTGTTTGCCTTTTGCTGTTGAAAGGTATCATTTTAACACCTAAGGTAGAGACCCTGTGGGGAGACCTGGGAAGGCTTCGTCAACCTTTTTACTCAGCGCTGTTTTCAGTTACAGTGATTTCCAGTCATTCTCTTTCACATGATAGGCATCTCATTAATATTCTAAGATTCTTGTTTGGTTATTAAAATAATAACACTCCCCTTTGCACTTACAAGTCTTTAACTTCCTTAATTGTGTTAAGATAAAACACACTCCTCGTTCCTGTTGATAAGCCAATTTAATAGAATATTGGATCATAATTCTGCATGGCATAGTTAATTTTCTAATTTTCCTGAGTTTTGTTCTGGTGGTCACCAAAATATTCCATGTTACATGTGTGTATTTATGGAAAATTGTAGTATTGATTCAAAATTATTTTTTAGACATTACTATTATAATAACAATCTTTTAAGTCAGGTAATTTAAAAAAGCTTGTTTATAATAGTGAGATCTTTAAAAAGTAATATGCTTTTAAAAGATACTTTTTTGACATTTTTCCATCTATTAATGTTTCTGGAGTAGATGTCAGACTCTTAGGTTTAATGCATTTACATCTTATTTAGTACAATCCTATGAAAATGGGCTCAACTCACAGTAATTACAGGTTCCAAAAGGTTAAATATGTTGGTCGGGGTCTCTGCTTATTGATAGCAGAACCAGGGCCCATGGCTATCTGATCTAAAGGCCATCCTCCTGACCATATCTACTGTGCTGTCTTCAATGTATAATTGTTTATGAAAACTCACTATGGGGCTCTGAGACGGCACAACAGGTAATGCGCACATCGTGCAAACGTTAGGACTAGGTTTGGAGACCCAGTGCTCTCACCACATGCATAGTGGTACACACTAGAACTCCAAGGGTGGGGGCAGAGGGACAAAGGAGTCCCTGGAGCTCAGTGACTAGCTAGACTAGCCGACTGGATGATCTCCAGGTTTGGTGAGATACTCTCTCTCAAAAAATAAGGTGGAGAACAACCGAGGAAGACACCAGACACCAACTTCCAGCCTCCACATACGTGTGTATGCAGGTGCTTTGCACCCTTACTAAAATTGTGTACACATAACACTTGCATGTACACACACACTCTCTCTTACACACACACACACACACACACACACACACACACACACACACGGATAATAAAACTTCTCATGATCCTGTAGTATCTGACCTTCAATTACAAAAGTGGTTTTTTTTGTATTCTTTTTCTTTTAAAACATGGAGTGTAGTGACTACTCTAACAACTTTATAGAAACAAATTTTAAATAGTTTATCTTATTCTTGCTGGAAGCCTAGTTTATCTTGTGTGGTATTCTATTTTTTAATCAATTTTACTTTACATTAAATACTGAAAATATCTCTTACATTCAAAGAGAATGGAACTTTTGATATAACTCACAGCCAAGTTAATGTTTCTTGAGGTCACTTGGCCTGATATCCTGCTAAGTACTCAACCAGCTTGCTTAACCTGCCTTTAAGAGAACAATGCAAAGACCAGCCTTACTTGCCATGAATTTTCCATGTAATCAGCTTTTACAACCTAAGCTAATGCATAGCTTTATTCTTGAGTTACGCATTCTTCTGTGCCCATGATCCAAAGAGCAATGCATGCATGTACATATGTCTGTTATAGTAATCATTCAGTGAAAAGAATAAACAGGTTGATTATAAGAGGTCTTATGCAACAAATATGTGCCATCAAAGTTGGAAATGACATAAGCTATTGCTTCATAATTGATCTTTTTGTAGTAAATCCCCTGTAAAACTGTTAAAATTTCCTATGCAGTATTTCCTGTTTCTACCCCATGTGATGTCTTCTGTGCTGTTCAATAATTCCAGAGCAAAGCCCTTTGCTAGAGACAAGGCAACACACAGTTAATAGAAACATTTCAGATATATATCACAAACAAGCTACCAGCAAGCCAGAAACCACAAACTACCGACAGATGGAAGACATAGGGGAAAAAAGTGGAGAATCCAGACTTGGGCTTGGTTTTGGTAAAATTAATTCAAAAGGAAGTGTTGAGTTTTCTTTCCTTAATGCAACACCAACACAATTTGGTGCCTAGAAGATTATCTTTAAAGTGTTTGACTGACAGACACATTCAGGTTGAAATAAAGATGTGTGCAATGACTTGATTTCTTATTGTGGTGAATTGAATGAGAATGTCCCTCATAGGCTCTGATTTCAAACACTTGATTCCCAGTCGATGCTGTCTCAGGGGTGTTATGGAGACATGGCCTACTTGGAGGAAGCATATAATGGGGGTGGGCCTTGGGAGTTTACAGCCTCACCACACTTCTATTTCAAGCTCTCTATTTCATTTTTACTATTGAGGATGTGAAATCTTACTTCTTTTTGTCTTCTTACTGCTGTGTGTCCCCTGCACTTATGGACTGACCCTTTGAAAGTGTAGGCCTTAAATAAACTCTTCTATTATTACTTGCTTTTGTTCATAATATGTTATTACAGCAACAGACAGTAACAAATGTACTTATCAACAATAAGAAATCATTCAAATGAATGACAGACCAAATGTCCACAAATGGACACAAAAACGAGTCATAAAATAATCAGAAACTGAAATTCTACATAACCATAAAAATAAAAGATCTAAAATATGAATGTACACAGAACTTACATTTTTAAAATTAAATTTAAAATGAATGGGAAAAGCAAATAATATTCAAAAAAGCTAAAAATGCAGAACAATGTTATTTGTTATTAACAAATGTCTAAATGTGTTGTAGCAGGTAAGTTGTCAACACTGAATAACAGAGAGAAGGAATGGAATTAATTCCAGAAATTTATTAATTGTAACCTAAGATGGATAACTTGTGGTGAGGCTTTGAAAGGCCAATGATTAATTACAGAAAATTTGACAAATTCTCAGTATCTAATAGTGTTGGCTAATACCCACATACATGGAAAATGTCTTCATTATGAATTCTCTATATTTTCCTCGTATTTTGAACAGTTTTAAATAGAGAAAAATAATTGGATAAAATATCTAGGAAAATACCATCAATTTTTAATACCTGTATGAAAACATCGTGAAGTAGCAAATTATCAAATACAGTGAACATATACAATTAAAATTTAAAAACAAAACATGACACTTAGACCAGACAAGTTCCATGTTACAAGTAGATTAGTCTGTCAGCCCAAGAGAGGCTAAGTTTCTGCAACTCACTGCTAGGAACTCTTTGCTCATAAAGTCTTCTATTATTTCTTCCCCTGAATTGAAGGGGAAGAAATGTTTATAAGACACTATACAAATAATAAATAGTATTTAACAAAACATCCTAAATGATAATATAACATGTAGCATTCATTTTTCAATAAAAGAGCTGGTTTCTCCACTGGATTATTTCTTGGTAACTCAGGTTCAAAATGAACTAGATATTTTTGAGAAATTAGAGATTAACAATATCCATACAATATTTCATCCACTCAACAAATATCTATTGAGGACTTATAGTGTTCAAGCTAATATGCTAAATGTTACAGAGAACATTAAGAAATGTCCACTGATTG